TGACTGTAATCAACATGGAAAGAGGGCTTTAAAGATCAGGAGTTCTCCTTGGAGTACATGAAAGTTTGTTTTGTATTAGCTTGATTGATTAATTTGTCTTCTCTGTGTGTTTTGAGATACATTTGTAAGTACCAGAAACAACATGCAGATTTGCTTCATTTCCATTTTTAGTTTAGAAGAGCTAATTGAATTCAGCTGTTCTTAATTTAGTTTTAATTCACAAACTGTTTTCGTATGTCAAGCAAAGGCATGCAGCACAAAACATGGCAGAACAGACATGGCGGCAAAAGACTTCTCGGTGCATCGGCAAAGAGTCGGCATTTCCTCAAGTGCCAAACGGCCGGCTGCCTTTCAGGAGACAGGCAGGTGCTGGAACGTGTTCAGCTTTTCAGTTTTATTTTTAAGTCAGAGCAAATAACGAGAGCCCCTAATGGCAGGTGAGGCTTAAGAACCACTCTAAGAAATGTAGGGTCAGTTCTTCATCAGCCCACGCAGGTCTGCATATCCGTATGGCATTAGGAAACAAAATTAATTCCTGTTAGATCAATGCTGATCTTTTTTCAACGCCCCTTTTAGTGACACTTTCTCTGTACAGGTTTGTTCACCTGAGAGCTGCTTCACCTGAATCTAACTAGATGCTTTACCAAAACATTATCATATTATTTGATTTCTGATATCAGTAACAGCCTGACTAAACTCACAAATACTTTGCAGTATTATGAATACATGCAGACACTTTACAGTGATGTTCTCTGCAAGAAGTAGACTCAAGTCGCAAGGAGACAAGTGGAGGATGTGCATTTTCTTAATTATATATAGGTAACATTGGTGTTTTTTCATTGGTATTTAAGAAGTTATTTCCTTATTTTTTTTACAATGAACTGTAACACTTCTTATTCCTAGTACTGTAGTGCTGGGTAAAATTGCTCATTTGTGTTTAAGTTTATTGGGGTCTTAGAAGAGAATCAGAGATTTAAAGTAATTGAGATTTTGGGTGTGAGCCCCACTGTAGCTGTCTTTTGTGTTCTCAGGGAATTGCTGTAAGTCACAAGCCAAAGGAAATGAAAGCAACGCACAAAAAACTGCCCAAAACTCCACTGATTGAGTCAAAATGTGAAGTTTATGTCATGGACTTGATTAACAGGGCTCTTGCATTACCTAAAGGCTGTTTCCAGCCCTCGGAGCCAGAGCTATACTGACCGCTAAAATGCAGAATCATTCGAGAGCGTGTGTGCTTCCTAAACAAAAAGAGTGAACTGTTTTTCTCATCTTTCAAGTTAAAACCATGTGAAACTTAGTAGTGCCAATAAAATTTGAGGTTTTATTAAGTTAAACCCTAAAATTCACTTTTTTTTTTTGTATTACAGAGCAAAAATTGTAGTCTCTGATTCACAAATGGTACATTACGATTGCATTCAATGTATTTGGATACTTTTCGCATTTTTCTCTCTGATGTGCCCCCTTGGCAACTCCCTGCTGGTTCAGTTAGCCGGATCCTGTTCTCTTTTTATTACTTTCCTTGAAAGTAAATCTTATTAGCTTCCAATGATTGATTTTACTAAGAATGACAGTATGTTTTCCAAACCAAATTAGATAGAAAGAGAATTCCAGACTTTTCTTCCAAAACTTTTCAGTACTTAGCAAGGATGAATAGCGATAAATCAGAACCGAAGGTGAAATGAACTGCTAAAAGGTGTTGGGATAACTGGTCCCTGGTATCATAAACAATGTGTTACATTGTGCCATTATGCATTTACGTTTATTGTCTATAAATGCCTAGACTGATGAGTGTTTGTTTAAAGGCCTGATTTTAAATCTAAGCACCGACCCAAGCAGAAACTGTACGTATGTGAAAGTAATGCTGGTCCTGTACTCTGTTGTATTTTACCAAAGTGACAAACTGTTTTTTCCATATTCTTCTGAAAAAGACCAATCCAGAACATCATGTATTTACACATGTATTGTTGCAACTAATTATGTTTTTCTTGGGCGTTGCTAGATGAACTCGGTAGCATTTGAAGTTTATTAAAGGTGGCCTAAAAATTCTCTGCTCTTTTGCAAAGAATGCCAGCTTGAAAAATAGATGGAGGTGATAATGGTAGAGGCTTAATTTAAGTTACAGAGGATATTTGATGTGTTCCTACCTGTGTTAGAAGTTCCATTGATAAAAGCAGAACCACATCATAGCTGGGTGCAGATTTTTGCAGCAAAGAGAACAGACTTCTAGTTAAAAGCTCGTGCTGTACTTCATCGCAGAGAAAGTTTA